CATTTTTCACAAATTTACACAAATGTGCGCATGCAATTCCCTAAAAAAGTAAAATAAACCGACAGAAAATGTTTTTTTTTCAAATGAGCCGAGTCAATCTCAATTTTCGACTGCAAATGAAGCTTTCTATCACTAACTGAGGCCCACATGCATGCTTTGTCACCGGGTTGCATGCATTTAGCGGCAATCTTCATATTTTAGTCAAATTTGAATACACATCCACGCATCCCTTGATTGCTCGCTTTCTTCCAAAGCAGTTTTCTGACAACTGTTTTGTCTGGAAGTCGGTAAAAATTAATGCACGAGAAAAGAATTGTAACCTGTGTGCAAGAAAAAATTGGTGAGGTGAGACATGAAAATAAACCTTACACGTTGCACTGTTTGGAAAGTTTTATCACAGGTTAGCGTTAATTCCACGATTACGTTAGCCACAGATTCACACGTGTGTTTGGCGTGTGTTATGACGAGATTATTCTGCAAATTTGCTGACACGTTAGAAACGGAAGCTATAGTCGAAACCTGACTTCAGAAAAATTAGAGTTGGTATTTGCTCAGAGAATGTGAGTCGTCAAAAACACACCCAGCTGTAAGACCGCAATCAAAATAAGACAGGTTACTTGAAAACAGAGGCGATAAGGTAATGCTCTAAACTCCTGCTTGTCTCTACTTTTCCCCGTCTTCGCACAAAGCTGAATTTAGGCTTGTGCAGAATGACAGTAAAGTGTGGTATTTCTGGCAATTAATATATATTTCGGGGTCGCTAACGCCAGTCAAAGCAATGTGGAAAATTGAAGGTATCTGTTTTAGCAACCGAAATACCAAAGCACACTTATAAAGCAAACAGGCTCTGTGCTTGTACAGGCGAATAAAATAATGTTCTTGAAGCGTGTCAAGTAAAACACACGCACGCCTTCTAGAGATGTCGCAGTGTTTCGCGTTGTGCACTAAGTTGAACTCGAAGAAACCTCGACGATGGAGTCACACTGAAGAGAAGCACATTGTTGGAGGTGTTGTCCACAGGGACGGTGGTGACGCTTTCTGATCCGTTGTGGTTTCGCATCAACTCCACAGAAAAGGCACAAGACCGCAAGGAGAGACGCGTTTGTGTGTAATTATGTGGAACATCGAAGTCCTCTGACTTGGAGGCTACAATGACCACTCAAAGGAAAATGGGTTTATTTCGATAGTAAACAAATGCTCAGTGTAGCGATTAGGTAGCTACTGCAAATCGTCGGTGTACTGTGGCTTTTAATGCTAAAATGCTTGTCAAATGACGCCACAGTTTTGTTGGCTGCGAATTGATTTGACCTTTTGATTTCCTGTTAACCTCAATTGGTAACTAGTGTTACGACATTTGTTCAGAATTAGGTGTGAGACCTAACTTGTACAGTTTATTTCAGTAAATTAATTTAATGCACCAAAATAGAGAACATCGAATTTCATCTTGGAACTATTGTGCCGAGATCATTCCCATGCGCCCACTTATATACGATGTGGACAGAGGTGAGTACGGGTGATAGAAAATGGCACACTCAAAGGTGCATGGACGAGGAGGAAGAAAGGGGAGGAAAGTGTGCATGAAAGCTGTTGTGTATCAGCCGCAGTTGAGAGGGAAAATATAAAATTGCAGATATCTTGGAAGGTACAGTCCTGGGGATGCTATATTCCTCGTTAAGTACTGATATGTAAAAGCAATTGTCACTCTTCAGTGGTACCATCAGCGTTGAAGCATATTGAGATTGCTAATGCAACAGTTACTGTTTTAAAATAAGAATTTGATTCAAAACAAGCCCCTGCATTGCAAAAATAACCTTACATTTAAAACGTATTGCTGAATCCGCTCTAAATTTGAGCTCCATTATTGGTACAAACGTCGCTGTATCTCTTCTACCTGAGCGCGAAGGACCATAGAATCCATAGCCGGACGCAGTCCAGAGACCCATGCTCCGTCAAGGCGAACGCAGTGGTTCCGATAATTGTGCACTAAGTCGCTGCATCTGCCACTTGCCATACACTGGCGTCATTGACTTACAGCCAACAAACGTTTAATGATCAACGCAGGCATCGGCCTTTTGCTAAAAACAAGTTCTGTTAGAAATGAAGCCATACTTACCTGAATTGGTGTAAGAGGAACAACGAAGTAAACTAGGAAATGATTATAGTGATGATTGGAAGATTTGCTTGTGAATTGGCACGACAAAATCATTCGCGTTTGATAGATAGGGAGAAACATGGTGTGGGTATAAGGGCTGCAGAATGTGGCCCGCCAGTGGTTTTGTGTTGAGAGGAGAGATTGACACATTGGTAACACACTCGCGCTCGAATGTCAGCGCCAAATATGGTCAGCGACGTGTCGGCGGCATGTTTTTATACCCAATCAGATTTAGAGGTCGATTATATATCAAGTATATATAAAGGGTGGTGAAATCGTCAGCCACAGTTCCGATTCTCTCTGCGTCGCATCTTCGAGCACACCAGGTAAATTCTCTGACTTACTTCATTTCTATCATACGGTTCATATCATGAAGAGTTTTAAAGTGACTTACTTTTGACAGTGTCTACACCGAAATTCGAATAGCGAATTTGGGTCACATTCCAATGCTCTGCGGTTAACCTAATTGGTCATGAATAAGAAAACCCGTTTGGCCGAAAGTTGCTTGGGAGTTGTTCAGCATTTTTGTTTCTGCGAAACTGTGAAGGCACTCGTGTGCTTTCAGCTCAATTCACGATTAGGCCTGTTTAAACATGCTTGTGACTTGACGTTTAAATGAGCACTGGCGATTTTAACCTGGCTACAAATATGTTGAAGCTGGCCTCATTAAGCCAACTGGTTGCGAGATTGCCCGAAGATTTTGCAATTAAATACTAGTCTCTACGACGTGTTGAATTTGAGCTAAACCTTAGCGTGAAATAAACGCGTGGATAGCACTAGGGCGCCCATATGAGCTGTGGTAACCTGGAATTGGACAATCAAGTGTAGCGACGTTCCACAAGAAGTGAAATGAAACAACAAGATCTAGCGCGTGGTCACTGTGCGTCAAACTTCATGCTAGTCAGCAATATTGGCATGAATCGGATCATGCAAATATGAATCTCTTACCTGGCTCCCGATGTTAGCGCATGTAAGACCCGTACATTTAAGTATAAATGAACACGCACAAATGTCACCCACGGCACGACATCAACGTGGTTGAATTCTGATGCAAACGGTTGAGTCCACGTCCTCTCCGGTTGTCTTTTTTTCATCTCGGATCTCTGTGAAGCGAAAACGGGCCAGACTTAATTCAGAGGCTTTAGCGTGTTTCAAGACCCCATGCTAGGGACCACAACAATTTGGTGACCCCGACGTGATGAAAGGTTCTACGAACTTGACAACAGTATTTTCAGCATTACCCTTGATGCTTACTGGTACTTATGAGGTACAAAATCCGAACAAATCAGTTAAAACTTCTGGAGTGGTTAGTAAGATACTTCGACATTTTTTGGTTTAGCGTATCCACCTCAGTCAGAAAACCCCAACAATATAGACTTAATGTACATGGATTGAAAATAATTTTGCCTTAGACCTTAGAGTATGCGTTTTCTCAAGTTTTGCTGCGAATCGTGTTTATTCACTCCCCTTATTCCGGTAGCTCCGTTCCAGCACAGGGTTCCCTTCTTTCGCAGCATGGCGTTAGCCACGAGAATCCTCAACTCCTTCCTCATTCACACGAAAGTTTATCTTGAATTATCCTCACACCTCGATGTTAGCGCATGTTTGACTCACACATCCGAGGTATAAGCACACACGCACAAACCCCACACAAAACCACGGCTTCGTTAAGTTCTCGAGTAATTGCTTGACTTTGTCCTTCCACAGATTTCATCCGTGATGGGCAGTTAGTGGTATATGGCGTCTCAACAGCCTATTCACATTGTTTACCACTCAATCATGTTGACTTCTTTCAGTGCCCAGTCATCTGCTTAATTGCACAGCACTAATCCGAGTTCGCTTGCACCAATCTCTCGAGTCTTCGGTGAGATGTCTATCACGTCTCACTTCCTGTTCACACCGGGTGTTGTAGCGCTTTCGCCTTCAATGCGGTAAGACATGCATCTGCTGCATTCTCTACTCTCATGCCTTTTTCTGTTAACTAGAAGGCGCTTTCCAAGTGAATCGAGACTGGTTAGCCCCAACGGATGCACTATTTAATAATTCACATTCTGCAGCGATCGCCTTAGTTCGTGTGCTTTTAATTTCGCACAATATGTTTGCTAAGGACCTGATTTCTTCCCGCACATC